CTGGATATGATGCATATGGGATCCAGCAAGCTCAAAGTCTCCTACACGTGTTCTAAGGGAGGAAGGAGACGAGCAAAGCAGAAGCAGTTTTCAAATCCTTGTGGTTTATAATAATCACATAGAGAGATATCACTTGCCATCTATCTTAACAACAGCTACCACTTTTAATTCTGTAAGGAATGTCAACCTTTAAATGCAGGGTAATTTTTGACTTAAGAAAGCATCTTAACATCTTTAACCACTGCCATTCAGCGATTGTTATACAACTAGTATCCTAGACAGTCTTTGAGATCTTTTCCTGAGTATTATTCCTGCTGAAGAGAAGTTACAGGGTAATTTTTTGATCACTAGAAAATGCATCCAGATGGTTGCTTTTGTACATTTCTTTTCAACAACAGTGGAATCCTTCTTTACCGCCTGGAGCTCTGTAGCTGCTTCAGGGTTGTGTGGTGCAGCTTTGAGAAGGAATAGTCATACAGCATTAACTTGTTCTCAGCAAAAGTGGTACCAGAGGATTCAGCAGTAGGAAGTTTGTCACGTTCTAATTCTAGCTCTGCTGCTGAGTCATTCGGCGACTTTGGTCTGACTGTGAGATCCCCATCTCCTTTCATCACATTTGAAAGAGCCATACCTCCGGAGGCTAGGTGGCAGAGAATGCCTGTACTCAGAGGCTACTTTGAAGATGTTTATAAACAAAAAGATAACGTTAAGATGACCTTACTATTAGTGATGGTCATCCGTTGAATGACAAAGAGGGTGCCAGGTCTCCTGGTTTCAGTCTGACCGACTCACTTTCTGGACTTTTGTAGAGCATGGCAGCCGTAGAAAGTGGATCGGTTTTCCAGCTTTCCTGAGTGGTGAGAAGTTTCCCATTGCTTTTGCACATAAGGTTATGTCCTCAGTGATGCCTAGATGGCCATCTGGCAAGTTACCTTGTGGAAAAACTTAGTAACTTGATCTAGGGAATTGATAGCTTCTTTCTTTCATCTTCAGTGTGTTCCCTCGGTTTGGATATTAGCATTGTATTTTAATATGTAGTAGAAATCGAGACTAGTAGTATGTTTCCACCACAGTCAGAGCTAGAGCCGTCTTCCACCCTGGACTCAGTTCTGAGTCTCATCCTACTCAGTGAGCCAGAGCTGAGCACACTGACTGAAGTTTCCTTGTGCCCGTAGGGAGCAGATGTGAACTGTACCCATGGCACACTGAAGCCACTGCACTGCGCCTGCATGGTGTCAGATGCTGACTGTGTGGAGTTACTCCTGGAAAAAGGAGCCGAGGTAATGTTTTTAACACTGTCGCGTTAATGAGCCACTACAACTTGAGCTTCACGTTTTCTTAAAATTTCTGTCTCTTCTCCCATCCCTTCCCACCTTCTAGCCCGTGGTAACGTTGGCATAGCCAATATCAAAGCAGAATGTAATGGTAAATATATATGTAGTGATCCAAAGGATTTCATCCTTTGCCTTTCTTTCTTAAGTTGTCCCGGGCTCCAGGAAGAGGGAGTTTTATCTCCCCTTTTTCTCTCAGCCTTCTTTCTGGAGTTGCTTGCATTTCCATTCAGCGCTCTCACGGCCTGTTGACTGTCCAGGAGCTCTAAGTACCGAGGCCCCTGGAGTGATTAAATCTAAACCATTTGACACCTGCTACCAGACATGCACTTCTAATACCACTGTTTCTGGGGGATAGATGTCATTAGGTAACCCATTCCTCAGGATTGATCTACTTGTGCTAGTTCTGCCCACTAATTATTTTCCGTTTATTGTATCCTGTTCCTGTCTTCTTTCTGACGTATCTTAAGATAAGAAACCTAGATTAATTTATATCGGCATCAGCAAGAAGCAGCATGGTATAATGAAAGGTTAAAAGAATAGACTCTGGAGCCAGACTTCACGGATTTGAATCCCAGCTCTATCACTTCCAGCTGTGGGACTTTGAACAAGTTACTTAAGTTTTCTTTGCCTCGGTTTCTCCATCCGTAAAACGGGGGTGACAATGGTATCTTCTTCATAAGGTTGTGAAGTGTTTAGTACACTGGCATGTAGTAATTGCTAAGTAAGTGTTTGTTAAGTAAATAAATAAGTAAGCAGTTTTGACTGTTTGTAAGCAATCTGGAAGTTGCACGTGCTGAGGCGCCAATTGGAATCAGACATGCCGCGAAGCTGGTGTGCAGGCCCAAACATATTGGTCAGTAAGCCTAAGGGGCCAGCCCGCAGCACCATCCACCCAGCCATGTTGTTCTCTACTTGTCATTATCTGTTACATAACTCTTGTGAGTGACCCTGAAATGAAAGCCAGTGATTTAATGTCAGTGATGAAAACTATCCCCGGGGGCGTGGAAAGTTTTTAGCTAAATAGAAAGTTGAACTGAGTTAAATATATCAACTTATTTTTATTGCATTTTATGGGGGAAGATAATATGTTAGTCTTAAGTTTGGGTTTTGAAGTCTTTATTATAGGGAATGTTGATTTGTAGCAAGTCAGCTGCTTTTGCAGTATTGCAAGGTTGTGCTCTTCTCTTCACATGCCTTTATTGAGGTTCTCTTATGACTGCACGGCATAGTTTTGCAAGGGGCTGATCGGATTAACAATTTGAGCTTCTCGGTATGGTTAAAGAACACGGCAAAGCTATATGGGTGGAGTTTGGCCTCATTATTTTTCAATCTGGTTGCCATCAGCCACAGGTTAGAGTGAGTTGGGATAAGTAAAATAATTCAAAACCTTTACTCTGGCTCATGTGTTGAAACTACTTTCCAATAAATATCTCCCAGAGTAGTTAAAAGGATTTAGACGTCATCTACTCTTTCTTTACCCTTTACCCCATGGTAGAGATCCTAGTGAATAGTAAAGAATGTAGCAGAAAAACCCTAAATAATGCAGGCCAGCTGATCAGTGCACATAATAGAGTGCTGGTTGTTTTGAGACTGCTCTCTTCCTATTTGCTCCGAAGCTCCTGACATCTCTCCGTCTCGATCCCCAAGACTCCCTGGGAATTGCTTGTTGATTCTCATATTCAGAACATGACAGAGCGCAGGTCGTGGATAAACACATGCAAGCTTCTTTGCCCACCCATCTTCCTCTCGGTAGTCTAGCTACTGTCATATAGTTCCTCCGTCTTTACAGGTGAATGCCCTGGATGGTTACAACCGAACAGCCCTCCACTATGCAGCTGAGAAAGATGAGGCTTGTGTGGAGGTCCTCTTGGAGTATGGCGCAAACCCCAACGCGCTGGATGGCAACCGAGATACCCCACTTCACTGGGCAGCCTTTAAGAACAATGCTGAGTGTGTGCGGGCCCTCCTGGAGAGTGGGGCTTCTGTCAATGCCCTGGATTATAACAACGATACCCCGCTCAGCTGGGCTGCCATGAAGGGAAATCTGGAGAGCGTCAGCATCCTTCTTGATTACGGAGCGGAAGTCAGAGTCATCAACCTAAAAGGCCAGACGCCCATCTCCCGCCTGGTGGCTCTATTAGTCAGGGGACTTGGAACAGAGAAAGAAGACTCTTGCTTTGAGCTTCTCCACAGAGCTGTTGGACACTTTGAATTAAGGAAGAATGGCACCATGCCACGGGAAGTGGCCAGAGACCAGCAGCTGTGTGAAAAACTGACTGTTCTGTGCTCAGCCCCGGGAACTCTAAAAACACTGTCTCGCTATGCTGTGCGCCGGAGTTTGGGCCTCCAGTATCTGCCAGATGCAGTGAAGGGCCTTCCACTGCCAGCCTCTCTGAAGGAATACCTCTTACTTGTGGAATAGGCTGGAGAAGTTGTTTGCACCATCAGGCAGGCAACACTGGGTGAGATTTTTCCCTGTGGTACTGTCTCTTTGTCTTGGAAAACAGGAAAAGCAGTTGTTCCTGTTGTGTGGTTTATATTTAGAGGCAACATGTCACAACAGTCACCTCCACACCACCTCCCCTCCCCAAACCAAGCAACCAAACAAACAAACAAAAAATCCCTCACTTTTGTTTTCTCTTTATTGCTTACTTGGCTTTTTATATTGCACCCTGCAAGCGAAGAGGTCTCCCCCTACCCCCCTCCCCCGTTTAGGGAAAAAGTCAACAATGCAACTGAATTCTCTAGGAAGATGAAGAGTATTTAAAGAGTGTGTGTTTAGTTTTCCTTTGGGAACATGATTAACATTTCAGAAGAATCCCTCTAGAAACATTTTAACTGGTCAGTGAAGAAGTCTAAGAAAAGCCCAGCTAACAAATGTGGCCCAAAGGTGAAGATACTAAAAGCTCAAATGGTGTGCAGATTCACAGTTGGGCTGGATGATATTCCTAGAGTGCCACGTCATGGAGCATTCAGAAGGGACTGGCCCCCTCTCTCACCATCAAAGGAAACAGCGGTCTTGGCCTCCTTTCCATGGGTGTGCCTGAGGGTTCCAGTAGTTCAGCAGTGTTATTTCAGAACTAACATTTTCTTACTGCTTTCCACATAGTAGAAGAGGTAGCAGGTTCTGAGCAGTCCTAAGAACTTTTCTAACGCAGTTCTTTCTCTTGGTGAACACCAGTTTGCGCCAATGGGCTTATTAGCAGGTGCTCTTGCACCTTAGATGAAGGTGTTTACTCTAGCAGGGAAGGAGATGGGCTGGGCTGCCTTTTCCCATGGGTCGTCTTCATTTCCCTTTAGGGAATTCACACTACTAAGGTTCAGAATTATTTTCCTTTCAGTTGTTTTGGCAACTTTGCTTTTTACGGATCTATACAAGACATTCGGGGAGGCCAGCGAGTGGGGGAAGAGCATTATAAGAGCTGCTTTCAAGCTGGCCCACCTACTCAAAAAGGAACTGTTTGAGTGAACCATACTTAGTCAACGATACTCTTCCTTTTCATGTTCCTAAACTAGATCAAGTAGTTATTATCTTGGATGACCCAGATGCAAATTTGAAAAACTTTTTTTAAGTTGATCGGGAACTACAAATAAAAATGACTGCAATCTGCTGACACAGCTAATTTGAAAAAACATGTCTGCTTTTGTCCTTTTGCCATTGGTGGTTTTTTTTTTTTTTTTTTTTTTTTGCTCACTTAAAAAAGAAATAAACACTTCTAAAAGCAAGTTTGGCAGTTTCTACTGTTCCTGCTTTTGTCCACATTGTTTAATCACCTGGAGCCCCGTTGTCCGTAACTTTGAAATGGGCTGTCACCACCTCTCTCATAAGCTGTTTTGAGGATGCAGTGATACCAGGGCTTAATATTTACTGTTAATTTTTCTTCTCCTTAATGAACTGCACAAAGAGCATTTGGCTGCCTTAAGTCTGGACTCCTGACAAGCCTTCTCAGTTGCTGTTCAGAACTGTTTTCAGGGTGTAAAGGTAATACTTTGGATAGCCAGCAAAAGTGACATATTAGAGATCATCATTCCTCCACGGCTGGTAAAACCTTGAACCTCTTCCTGCTTCATCAGGCAGGTGAGGAAACTGGGTTGGGAGGAGTATGTACGCTTGTGCTGAGAGTCAGGATCTGGTTATTGGAGGCTAAGCTTAAACTTGGCATCAACAGGTGCCATCCTGTCAATTTGGGTAAAATCTGCGGTCTCGCTCCTGAAGACCAACTACATTACATGGTTACTTGGCTGATGAGGAAGAAGCTATTGTTATGGAATAGAAAACAAATGGAGCTGAATGAGAACTGACCGCTTTCTCAAGCAGTATTTCAGCCAGCCCACCAAACCGGGTCCAGGAGTGGGGGTCTCTTTCCCAGGCTTTCAAAATGTGCAGGTCTCCCCACAAATGGGGTCTGCGTTTCATCTAGGAAGGAATAACAGGGGAAGAGTTGAGAAGGAAGAACCCTGAGTTGTCAGAAGAGAAGTAGAGATCATGGAATGGCTGGAAAAACCCCTAGGTAATGGGTATATGATCACGAGGTGAAACACAACTTCATGCTTAAGGGAGACTGGCAGGGCACCTTATGGCTACAGAGGATGCAGGAGGGACTAGTGTGCGATAGGGGGTAAGGACCAGTATATGATGTTCTAGGACCGTATGTGCAGAGCCAAGAGATGGAGAGGAGTACATGGGGTGATCATATGGGCTGCATTTTCCCACATGTCTGTCTGAGCAGGGTCTGGTGCTTTGGGTTGACAGTATGACATTCTACTTACAAAAGTGACAACAGGAGAACCAAAAGCACAGTGACCAGTTGGCCTTTATTAGTGTTACTGCAGTCAGAGTAGTAGAGGAACCAAGACCTTGTTATCACAAGAAATAAATAGAGCTTATTTTTAGGAAGATTCTGAGTAGTTGAAATCTAGCAGTAGCACTAGAGGAGCCCAGTCTTGTGTGACAGATGAAGCTGGGGTAGAAGTGATGATAAAGTCTACCTCAAAGGACCTTCTACGCACTGCCCACTGCCTCAGCTCCCTGGCCAGAGCTGGTCATGGCTACAGGTGCAGATTAAAAGGAAACCTAATGAAAAATGGGCTAAAACACTTGAGAATGCATGGACTTGGATCTATCAGGGGGTGAGCTGACCATGATCAGACAATCCATTACCCTCACTCCAAAGAGGGTTAGATAGAAGCTTCTCCAGATCGCTTCCGGCTGATGTGCTCCAGGTGGGCGTGCTCTGAGGTGTCCAAGTCAATCTCATACTTGGCTAGGATTTTGAGGATGGGCCTCAGCTTCAGCCACCACTGCTCCTTGGGGATGCGGTGGCTACAGAGGAATGAGACAGATGATTTAATCTTTCAGCACCCCAACTGATTTCTATCAAAAGCTTATAGGAACAAGTGGAGCAGAAGAGGCTGGATTTTAGGACATGGCCTAAGATCCGAAACGGGTATGAGTCCAGGTGTTACTCCTAAGATAAAAGGATCGAAGACAGCGAACAGGTTGGGAAGAGCAGATCCTGAAACTACCGGGGAAGTAGATGTACTCACTCAAAATCCGTCTGCTCCTTCAGCTCAGTCACCGGTTGAAAGACCAGAGCCCTCTTACGCATCCCCAGAACACAGCCTGAGTCTGGTGTATTGGCGAAGATCCTCCCTGCAATACAGGATGGTCAGTAGGCTTCTATAATGGGGAACCAGCCACTATGGGGGGGTCTTACCCTTTTACCCCACCTACCATTACGGTAACTCTCTTTGATTTTCCCAGACATCCAGTTCATAGCCTTGGCACCCATCTTAGTGGCAAAATTTCTGTCAAACGGAGTTGGGCTTCCACCCTGGAAAAAGAATCATAAAAATTACAGAGGGAAGGACTCTAATGAAGTGACAGAGATACCTGAATACACACAGAAAAAAGGAAAGAACAGGCCCCAGGTTTGCAGCTGGAAACAGGAATCCAAAAGTCTAACCATGAAGGAAGTCCTGAGACAGCGCTGAGAACAGAATGAGCTGGCACAGCTTATTTGGCCATTTACCAGGGGTAAGAGTAACTAATTAGATATGGGGGGACCTGGTCTCACAACCGCCGCCTCTAGCTCCACAGCTGCCAGATCCTGTTCATTCACTTCCAGTCTGATTGGCCAGTCGCCTCCTTGCCCCTCTTCAGCCTAGCAGCTTTTGTCAGTCACCATCATCGACAAAAGTGTTCCTTGTGAACCAACATAGATGTCCTTGGTAGCACCTCAGAATAATATAAAACATCATGCAGATTTTCTCTGAACTAAGTGAAAGGAGGTGGGAAAGTGGGGAATAGATCGCCATGCTTTATCCAGTCAGACCCCATTCCTGCAGGGGCTAATAAGCTCATTCAAGTTGAGGATACTGGGAATTCATAGGTAGGTAGACAATGGTCAAAGGTCCATTCTTAAGCAGAATCAGCTTTGGGATGGGGAGGCCTAAGACCACCAGTACCGTCTGTGAGCGAGGCCTGCCGTAGGTGGGGATTGAATGTGGATAGCAGAAGGGAATTTGTTTCCCCCGGAAATCCCGGTTAGTGCAGACAGAGCCCAACACCAGCAAGGTGGCTGTACTTCTTGCACAGGAAGGCAGCGTGGCATGCTGGGAAGAGCACTGGAGTGCATTCTGGCTCTCACCCAAGTTTGATGAGCGGCCCTAAAAAAGTTGTTTCTCCCGTCTGGGCCTCATTTTCTTCATCTGAATTAGTGGTTCTCAACTGGAGATGATTTTGCCCCCCAGGGGACATTTGGCAAAAGTCTGGAGACATTTTGTATTTGTTACAACTTAGGAGGGAGGTGCTACTGGCATCTAGTGGGTAGAGTCCAGGGATGTTGCTAAAGCATCCCACAATGGCACAGAACAGCCACCCGCAACAAAGATTTATCCAGCCCCAAATGACAATGGTGCCAGTGCTGAGAAGCCCTGCCCCAGGAGGGATCACCTAACCTCGAAGGCCATTTCCAGGGTAATGCTGTTTCGATTCTGTGACAGTAAAAACTGCAGGCTCGTGCTCTGTGGTGGCACCGACAGCCTCCAGCAGATTGGGGACCAGTGGGAGACCCAATGGCTATCGGGGATTGTGGCCGTCTGGTGAAGGGTATGACTGGGGTGTCTTCCCGACCTGCTGCATGTGCCCAAGCACATTCTTCCTGCTGTCAAATATGCCCTTCCCCTCCTCAGAGTACAGGTTGAAGATGAAGTCCGTGGTGTAGTTCTCATTGCACTTCTCATTCCTGCCAGGTAGAGACCAAAAGCCTGTGACTTTGTTTGTCTCCCCATCCCTCCCAACCCTTTTCTGCTTCAGTAGGCTTTGTTCTTCCCTTTTCTGTCTCCTCCCATGGCTCCAGTTCTCTCACTGTGTCCCCAAATTCCTCAGGGCATCCCAACCATGGATTCATTCTGTGGGCTAGAGCCAAAGCCTAACTGTTCTCTTCACTTAGAAACACACCATGGATGAGGTACCTTAACACCAAGCCCCTTTTCACAGTGGTTTTCATCTTCTGCACCAGATGTTCAACATTTGCCTGAAAATAAGAGAGTAAATCTTAAGCCTTGCCAGGAGTGGATAAGGCCGGGCAAGTGCACAGATCTCTTGTTCCCCACCAGGCCTCTCCAGATGGGGAGAGAGACTGGAAGAGAGCTGTTTACAATGTGTGCTTAGTCCCTGTGAGAAGTTCAGTGCACGCTGCAATGTGAACAAAGACTCCAAATGAGCCAGGCAGAACTGGGAGAGGGTGAGTTAAGGACAGCCGTGGTAACTGCCGGTCTTCACCTTTCCACCTGCTCCCAGTGTCCCCTTCCAGGGGATTCTGCTTCCCTTCCCTCAGAGGGCCGGGGGGTGGGGGGGGGGGGTGGGCACTGCTCTCAGTGTTGGCCTTTGAATGGGTTGCTTGTCGGTGCAGCAGTGATTCGCTTGGGAGGAACCAGTTCCTTCATCTGGGCTTTGAGCTGGGGGTGAAGGAGGAAGACTCCCACCTTCCATTTCTAGCAGGGACTTGAGTTCTTGCATGAGGGAGTTCCCTCAGCCTGCTGCCCCTGCACTTTGTGGCTCTTCTTCCCTCCAGTGAACTGAGATCTTAGAAAACTAGGATCATATGGCCCCTCTGAGAAAAAGGAATCGGAGCGCCCTACCCCAACCCTGGAAGGGACAGGAATGAGAAGAGTCTGCTTTGGTAGCAAGGGAGCCCAGGGCGGGTGGCATGATCAGTAGAGACACCACCGACTTTCTCTGTTAAACCACCTACTCACAAGTTTAGAAAAGTCTTTTAACCTCTCTAAATCTTTCTCGTCCGTAACACGGAGATAATAATAGCTCCCTTGCACGTGTGTTTTGAAGACAAAATGCAAAGACACGTTGAGAAGGGCTTAGCAACGTGGGGCCTTCGAAACGAATGCTCCAGAAACAGCAGCTGTGGTCATGCGTGCGAGGTTACACCGGAGATGCCCTCTTGCTGCTCTTTCTAGTTTCCTCACAGGGCCCCAGAGACCAAGCAGCTATCCTCACCTTGAGCTCTCACAGCTCAAGATGCTGTGGGGACAGACTAGGGCAGGGGAGAGCTGCATAACAGGCTGTGAGTGACCCATCTACCTGCAGGTCCCGAATGGTGAAGGGCTCCTCAAAAATGTAAGCAGCATCGGCCCCAGCTGCCAGTCCTGCCATGGTGGCCAGGTAGCCACAGTAGCCACCCATCGTTTCGATGATAAACACCCGACGCTTGGTGCCTGCCGCTGACTGCTTGATGCGGTCACAGGTCTGCAAAGACAGCGGAGTCTCAGTTAGAAAGACAGAGTCCGGGGTCTGATCCTTGTCACTTCTCTGGCCCTTGCCATAAACCGGCCCCGGAACGCCACCCTCCCCGGCTCAGCCAGGCCCCTATGCCTCATCAAGTTCTTGCCTTAGGGGGCGGCCGGCACACCTGCCAACTGCCCTGTGGAACTCGCCTCCTGGGAAGGAAGCTATACTTACCCTTTGTAGAGTTCAGGGCAGGGAAATTAGGCTATCTGACCTCAGGACGGAAAAAAACATTTGGGACGCAGAGTACTGATGCGTTGGAGGCTGACAGGTGAGAATGAACACCGTAGCGTGGAGAAATAAAGTGCGTTAAGGGCCTGGGCTCAAAGAGGCACCGTTCGAACACTGTCACTTGGTTAGTACAAAAACAGTAGCTCACTCTCCAGTACACGTGGCCCAGGGATTACAGAGCTGGCCAGAGGCCTGGGAAGCGGGGGCGGGCTCTCACCGTGCAGATAGTATTGAGTGCTGTGTCAGTCCCCACGCTGAAGTCCGAGCCGGGGACGTTGTTGGAGACCGTCGCGGGGATGACCACAAACGGGATGCACAGCTCGTCAAACAGCTTCCTGCCCTCCATCAGTTCCAGGCCCCCTGTGTAAGCCTGAGAAGGAGGGTGGCAGCCATGAGGGGAGAGGGAAAAGTGGGGAGGAGGGGAACAAATGGGAGGGCACTCACCTCAAAGCCCCCAATGATGACAAGGCCCTGAATGTTAAACTTAGTGATGTTGGCACTGATCTGCTCAAAGCTCTTCTTGGGTAGAGTCCTAGTTGATTGGGAATGAGGCGGGGTGGGCGATGAGGTGATGGCATTTGGAGAATTAAGCAAAGTTGAGGGAGAAAAAAGCTAGAATTAGAATGTGCTTTATGTATAACTTCTTGACCTGTGCCCCCTTCCCTGCCACCCCTCTCATGGCTGTGTAAGTACACATCCTGGGGCTTAAAACTGCTAGAGCTGCTAAGAGATGTCTAGATATGCAGGCCTTCCCTCACTGAGGCAACTGTGAGCTTGGGGACAAAAGATGCAGACTACAGCAGTGTAGACGCTGACCTAATGAACTGACACCCACATTCCAAGGGACATCTTTAGGGGTGACTAGGAGGAGGTGCTTCCAAAATGCCACTTACCTTTTAGTCCCAAGTTTGGAACCACCTTGGCCAGTCCAGCCCCCAACATAGCTCCAGCCAGCTTCCTCGATCTGCAGGAAAAGATCACACAGGTCTGCCTTGTGGACTGAATGCTACTTCCTGAGTTCTGATCCCACCCCGACACCCCCGTGGCTGGAAGAGGAACACCACGCATCGGCTTTTCCCCACCTCAGTGAACTTCCTCTGGTCTTATTGCCCATTCACAAATAGTAAGCACCTACTTATGCCAGGCACTGCACTGAGCTTTGGGACAGAGAATTAAACAAGGTGTGTTGCCTGTAAAGGGTTCATTTCAGTGGCTCCTGCCTATTCATACTGCCCTAAAATTAAGCATCTACTTCTGCTCAAACCCTGAGAGGAAAGAAAGGGAGAGAGAGAGAGGGGAGGGGCCAGGAGAAAAAAAAAAGACCGACAGGTCACCCCTGCTACGTGCCTCAGAGTACATGCCCTCCTCCTTTTAGTCCCTGTACCTGACCCTTGGCCAGGCCCTCGAAGCCATCATGTACAACCAGCACCCGGTTGCCCTGGATGAGGCCAATCCTCACGGTGGAACGGACGGCAGCGTTCATGCCTGCGGCTGGGGCCCCCACGTTCATCACGGCCACTGTGTGTATGCAACTCTGGGGAGAAGAAGTGGAGAGGGAGCAGGGCGAAGAGGGGGACAGGTCAGTAAGGGAAGCTGAACCCTGTCTCCCTCATGGTCCTAGGGTCAGGACATGTGCCTCTGGACAATGTACCCCCTCTCCAGGAATGTCAGCACAGCCTGTTCCCTCATCCTGTGGAAGCAAATTCTTTATCACAAATCAATAAGGAAAACCGCTGTCCCTGCCCGCAGATAGCATTACGTAACGAATGAGGCCTTCCAGAGCAGCATTTCCCAAAGTGTGATATTTGGACTGCCTGATCTAGGGAGCCTGTTAAACCAACCTATTCCTGGCCGCAACCCCAGAGCTAAATCCTCTCTGAGGGAAGGATCCAGCAATCTGCACGTTAAATAAGCAGCCCAGATGATTCTGATAGACACTCAGTACCGAGAACCACTACTTCAGGGGAAGAAGTGGCTGAAGTACACTCATATGCTCATTCCCAGGTCTGCCCAAAGGATTAATCCGTAAATCTCTTTCCCAGTCCTTGCACGCTACCTCGTCGATCCTAAATTGGATGTGGGCCTTGGGGCAGAGACGTCCGGGGCACATTAAGAACATGGGGCTGGTATCTGGGGGGGCTAAGAGAAAATTTCTTAGTAGGGTCAGGGACTCGGCACTGGAGATTTTAGTGGGACGAAGAAGCTGGCCAGGCTCTAGGTTATATGAGTGGAGGTGGCACTTCACGGAGGGAGATTGAGAGACAGAGTCAAAGGGAGAGAACTCACCGGTCCCTTAGAGACTGGGGGTCTGACATGAGCCAGAAGCTTGTACACTTCCCAGTTGTTCATGAAGCTCCTGGAAAAAGTACAGGTGGGGTGGGGGGTCTTCAGGCCGCTTCTCACGGCCAGCAGCCAAGGGGATCTAAAGTTCTGTTCCCAGTGTGAAGTCCAGCTGGGCAAACCTCAAAGGACATAACTGGGACCTGGCAGGGATTGGGAAGGGGCTGAAAAAGGGCCAGTGACCTATCAAACCCTCCCTGAGGACGCTTCTCCCAGGCACTGCACTCAGCACGACACGCTGTCCCTTGGCTAGAGAAACTGAAAACCTGGCTGGAACCCACACAAAAACCACCAGATTACAGCAGGCCAATCCCAGGAAGAGCATCCCTGGGACAAACTGTGCCTCCTGGTCACCTCACAACCAACTCTCTCAGGAAGGAACTGTCACAGAGACAATAAGAACAGGGAGGGGCAGAAGCTCTTATATTGGGTCTGAAACCATGTCCGTTTTTTGCTCCATTCCAATATCTGATTTCTGTAGCTAGTGAGCTTCCGGTCATTCCTCACCGGCCTCTCAGCTTCATGGCTTCATCAAATTTCCTGTCGTTCATGGCCTTGGTCACATCTTTGGTCTGAGGGAGGAGCACAGCAAGAGTCATGACTACAGGGCAGGGTTCTACACAGCTGGATTCCTAGCCCGTGGTAACGCTCTGTCTCCACTCTTATGCCTGGATCCTACCCACCACGCCTCCCACCTTTGCTATGCTCCCCAAACATTCACAGAAAGCAGCATCTTTGTTTTTCCTTAATTTTCGGAGAAATGAGCAGCCAAAGGAAGGAGCTGATTCAATGCTCTACTTATTCGAATATTTTTCAGAGTGGAGGAGTGCTCACAGATAAAATAGCATCTTCCTCCATTCCGCAACCTGAAAGTAGCCTCTAAACTGAGTGTATGAAGAAGACCCTATGGATCCCAGTTAGGAAGAAAAGCTGATCCCTGCCGTGTGTCTCCCAGCTACTGATTTCTGCTCTGTGAGCCCGCGCTTTAGCTTTTGGGATACATAGTTCCAAGCAAGGCTGGAGCCTGTCTAGGCTGTAGGTTTCTGGGACTCCCAGTTTGAGGGAGAAGCAGGCCAGGAAATGGGGAGCCAGCCCTGAGCCTGCAGGCCAGTCCTAAGAATCAGCCAGACACCTCAGCCCCAGACACACTGCTCTGTGGTATCACAGGAGTGATTCCTTTGTAATAAGAGCCATTTCCTGAGCACCCGGTATTTTCCAGATACTGCATCAGACCTTCTACAAAGCTTCCCTCTGCTCCTTACAGTAGCCCTCAGGGTGAGTGTTAGGAACCTCACGTTGTTTCAGAGAAACATGTTCAAGGTAGAAATCATAGAAACATACGAGCTAGCCAGCCAGACTATAATACTATTCCCTGCTTTTAATAACGTTTGGAGACATACTCCGTTTCTTTTCCAACAAAGACATGGCAAAAGCATCCGAGGCTGGATATTGTGCGACGTTGGGTCTCACTACTTGGTAAGATGTAGCGTCTCCCACGTTTCTTAGGAACATTTAACAGATGGGGACACTGAGGCTTAGAGAGGGGACAGCTCCTATGCAAAGCCTACTGTGCCCTTTCCTCATTTGACTCTTACCTACACCATGCTGCCTTCCCATCTCCAACAGGAGTTCCAGTGCCCTTAGAAGTTGGTCTCTTTCCCTCTAAGCTCTAGCTCAAAGACAGGGGCTTGGGCTGTTAGGACGGGGAGCTGAGGTCGGTACTTACCATTTGGACACACTCCATGAGGGGCAGGCGCACAGCCTGGTTCCCAGAGAGGCTCACCACACAGGCTGGGGTGTCTGGAGTCCCTTCCAAAAGTGCCATCACTGCCTCCACACCCATCCTGCTGCCCTGCAGGAACCCAGGGAGCAAAGACAGTCTGGTTCAGGCCTCCCCATCTGGACTGGGCCTGGAGAGCCAGGGCACCTGAGGCCCTTCCAGATCACAGGGTTGAATTGCACATTTAAGGACTACAGCTAAGAGTTTATGGGGCTTTATCTCCCTACCCAGATTTCATCTAAAGCTTGATTCTTCATCCTCTTACCATTAGAATTCTATTTGGTTCCCGAGAAGCATGTCCATTGTAGTAATCAAGGAGATTACTGAGGCTTAATATGCCCTTCTTATTGATAAAACAAGGGAGAGTATTGCCTCTCTCTTCTAACGAAAGTAGGATGAGAGGGTTCAACCTGAGTGTCTAAGGTTAGATCTTAATAATTTTACTAATGATCAAAGCTGAGATATTAGACCTCACTATTTGGAGAGCATATAATTTCTCATCATTTTTTGCAACAGAAGAGAACTCGGGTGGATGGGAATGAGTCAAGGGCCACTGCAGTCCAGAAGCTGGAGGGAGGCGGCATGGCCAATGGTGTAAGCCCCTGTCCTGGGAAGTGGGATTCTGCAGGGGAAGGACAGCAAGTCCTGGGTTCTAAGACGCAAGGGCCACAGAACCCCATGACTTACCAGGATCCGGTCAAAGGCTGATGGTGTCCCACCCCGCTGCACATGCCCCAAGACAGTGACCCGGGTGTCATATCCCAGACGCTTCACCACCAGCTGAGGACACCAAAAGAGGGACAGAGAGATACAGAGTCAAAGAGAAAAAACAAGCAGAGGCTTAGATAAACCACGATGGCTTAGCCTCTTATCTTATATCTTATCTTCCTGGGAAGCCAGGGGGCAGGAAACCTGGGGAGAGATGTACAGAAGGACTAAGGGGAGACTCAGAAGTCACTGGGGAAGGGAGTGGGGGGTGGTGTCCAAGGCCTCTCTGGTTTCATTCATACTAACATTCTTGATGTCTTCTGAGCTTATGGGTTTCCCAGTCTTGTCGATGGCACCCTCAGCCACAATGATGATGTTGAGACGAGAACCACGGGTCCTTGTCTGGTCAAGAACAAAGAGGAAAGATGGAGGGGAAGTGCATCATCAGTGAAACAGGCGAGTGGTTTTTCAAGGGCAAAATAAAGTGCCAGTACCTCACTGAGCCGGCGACAAAGATGTTCCTCCCAGTTGTCATCCGGTGGACACTCAGGAATAAAAACCCAGTCAGCCCCACAGGAGAGAGAGGTGACAAGGGCCAGGTATCTGAGATGAGAGGCAGAAGCGTCACACTAGGAGCCACGCTCCACAGACTGCCTAACCCGTACCTGGCAGGTCTGCCTGTTCCCATAGGTGGTGAAATGTGTGAGGATCTGTGCTTTCATGCTTGGGGTGAGGGTAAGAGCACCGCTGAGACAGCCTCTCAGTGAAGTTTTGTCCCTGAAGGGCACCGTCTCTTCGTGCTCACCTGCCACGGTGGCTCCTAATCTCAGAGCGGTGTCTGTCCTGTGCACGGGCACACAGGCACACCCTTGCACGCATGGGTACGGGGGTGGGGAAAGGGGGCCGTAACCGAGACAAGCATGGACACCTCTGAATCTGCTATCCCTGGGAGACCTCTTTGGACTCTCTGGGGAAGAGAAGGCTACTGCTGGCTCCACAGAACAGATGAGTCGAGACGGGGATCTTACCCACAGTGCCGGCCCATCACTTCTAGCACAAATGTCCTCTGGTGGCTGCAAGAGACAGACACAGAACGTTTACAGTCCAAGTGTCCTGATGGTCCCAAGCCGCCACCCACATGTAGGCCGCAAAACCTCCCTGGGAGACGCATTTATATTGTTAGACCTCCCAGCAGGTTTCTGGAGAGACCAGGAAGACCAGGCTGACTAAAACATAGCAGTAAAAGGTGTCAGTACTGTGGCTCTGTTCCAGGGAGCAATGGGGTCCAGGAAAGGAAAGAGAAAATAGGAAAAGAAGTGAAGAAGTGAGGACTCGACCAGCATCAGCCTGGAATCCCCTAGGATGACCCTGGCAAACTGTTACCTTCCGCCTCCCATTCTCCCACACTGCCTCCCTAGGCCGCCTACTGAGCAGCGGCAGGGACGGCCTCTACAGTCTACACTATCACTGAAAGGGTGGCTAAGGTTTGGAGCTCCCTGGATTTGTCTCAGGTTGGACACTGATCATTTGGGAGACCCTACAGGTATCAAAGCCCTCAGAGCTACACTGGACAGTGGGCAAGACAGTGACAAGGGGCAAACATACGGCCTGTAGACAGCAGTGCAATTTCAGGGCTTTAGGGAGGCTTCTTCATTAAAGACAGTGTTCCCACCCCAGAAAACGGGTCACTGGGGGTCTAGAGCCCAAGGGCATTAATCTTCTCTAGACGCCCTAGCCCTGTAGCCTGCCCCAGCTGCGATCCTCCTCCACTGCCCCACCTGCCCCCCGCAAGTCCCCTAACCTCTGAGCAGTGGTGGTGATGGCGTCCACAATCTCTATGATCCGGTGCAGGGCGGAATCAGTGCCAATGGTCATATCAGTGCCACAAAAGTCATTGTCAATTGAGCCCACCAAACCCACGATATTCAGATAGCTGGACTTCGTAGCCTCCTCCGCTGTGATCTTACCTGGCAATGAGAAGCAAACCAGGAGCCACCTTGACATGCCTAAAGAGCAGATGACTGGAGAGAGAAGGAACTGCAGCCAATGGGAAGCATAAGCAATGGCAGAGAAAGGAGGGCAAACACCTCCCTTTTGTGTCTGGGTGATGATTTCCTCCAATGGGAGGAGAGGGGTGTGTGTGCATGCGCACAAACGATACTTATGACAATGTCTCACCCGCTTTCTGGAGGTCACTCAGTAAGTCACTCCACTCAGAACGGAAGGTGTCAGCCCCAGTGAGGCTGCCATCACCTCCGATGACACACAGATTAGTAATCCCACGCTTCACCAGGTTGTGGGCAGCGCGGAGTCGTCCCTCTCGTTCACGGAAGTCCTTGCACCGGGCACTTCCAATGACTGTGCCTCCCTGTGGGGAAGAAGTAGAAGTCAGCTCCCCAGATGACACAGCCAAATTTGAGGTCGACATGCTAAGATTTCCCCTATTCCAAAATCGTGATGAGCTGTCATAACTACCTGGCTTTCTAGGAAGTGCCCTGACATCCTTAAGAGTCATTTGTGCTTTCTAGGGGCATCTGGGTGGCTCAGTTGGTTAAGTGTCCGACTCTTGATTTCAGCTCAGGTCACAATCTTGCAGTTTGTGGGATTGAGCCTTGCCTCGGGCTCTGCGCTGACAGTGCAGAGCCTGCTAGGGATTCTGTCTCTCCCTCGCTCTTTGCCCCTTCCCCACTCACAACTCTCTCTCAAAATAAATAAATAAACTTAAAAAAAAAAGTCATTTGTTCTTTCTAAAGGAAAGGGAAATAATTCTGGCTGAGCTATCATAGGGTCATTCCTATATTCTGCTACACCTCTTAGAAGACTGCTAAGATTAACCCATTTCATTGAAGGCTTTGTCATCAAAATGATTATCCTCAAGGAGAGCAAAGGAATACATACATGCTGTTGGCTTTTGGACAATCTCCATCTTTCACATGTTCTTAGAAATGTAAGATGTAGCACTGACTTTAGTCTTTGGAAATTCTCCCCAGTGGCCTGACTTTATTGGATTGTGTCCACACTATAATTAGCAGTTCATCCCAACGTGCTTGGTCATCCCAATGTGCTTTCCCTCTTGAACTCACTGATTTCTAATTGTAACCAGGCCCTGCCAATCCTTTCCCCTTCACTCCTCGGGATCTATGGTGCTCGTGGAAGGAGACACAATATCCACATATTCACAGGAAAAGTAGTTCTGAGTATAGAAAGCCTTAAATCCCCAGGGACTTATAGATGCCCCAGGAGAGGTAAGTATACTTAGGGTTTTCACAAATCGTACAAGCTTCTGGCATTCATGCCTTTGGGAGTACTGATAGAGAATTCTGACTCATTTTCAGACCACTTAACAGCAGGCACCATTGCCTATAAAGAATCTCGCTAAGTACTGCATATTGTATTTCTTCCCATGGATTTTTAGAGGACTGCGGTAAAGAATGGGGGTACAAATGTAATTTGTGGATTTTTCAGTAAATAAGAAAATAGGTATATAATGACTTACGGAAAGTAGCACAAAGGGTTATGGATACAATCCGCATAATCTTAAGGTATTTTTGGAAACTCTAAAAGGCTGTGCTGGTTCCTTCCTCCCTCAAACAGTGTGGTTTCAAGTGACCTTCTCACCATCACATGAGGACCGGCAGATTTCAGCTCTACTTCTGGCTCTGGCTCCAGGCCTCTGGGAAGGTTATTTTCCTGGCCAGACCCTCCCTGTGACTCCAGAGCAACTCCTGCTTACGTGCCAGTTCCTTAAGTCTTGCCTGTGACCTTTCCATAAAGAGCAAACTGTCCTGTGACCGCACCCCCACCCCCATGCCACCCTAGGAAACCAGGGTGATGTTTTCAAACGCAAAGAGTAAAGGGCAGTCGTGGCACTTCTCTTGTCACAGAACCCTTCACGTTGAGCCACATGGGGGGAACTTGAGCAACCATGAGGCCAAACCAGAGTGGGGTGGGACAAGGACAGGACAAATAAGGAACAGGAGTCCTCTGGAACATACCAGCTGAAGCATCATCGAAACACTCTCCCAGGTGGCTTCCCTGATGTTATCTCCACCATCCACCAGGCCTTGATAACCCTGTGGAGCACATTACACCCATTCAGCTTCTGCTAAGCCAGGTTTCCCTAAACCCCCACGATTAGGACAGGATCTCTGGGAAGCAGTTCTCTGAGAATCAAGTCATCTCCTCCCATTACTGATCCCTGGATGCCCATGACACTGTCATATTTAACACAGTCCAAGGAAGAAGACATCAACTTTTCAATACCCTCTTCTATTTCCCTGCAATCTCAAAAGGTCAGGATGTCCTTCCTAATATTTCATCCTAATTCTTCTTGCTTCTGGTTTATCCCATGTCCTCCAATCTGCTTTCCCGGGGAACTAAATAGCAGATAGTTTTGATAACAGTAGAGGAAAAAGAGAAGGGTGGTGGAAGAATGGCAGGAGAGAAATGGGACTTGAAAAGATACAATTTAGGAGAAGGCAGATAAACCTTACAGGGAAAAGAGTGGGCAAAGAATGAGAGGGAAGGGAGAGAAGGAAGAGGAGTTAGAACTTCAGAAGGTACAGCAAACTGCAGAAATCTGATGAGACTTTGTTCTTTCCAAAGGCTCTGTCTCAGGACATACTAAATTTTCTCTGAAATACTCATTTCAGCTTCTCTCTTTGTTTTGGTGGAGGTAAGGGGAAGAGAGAGTTACTTCTTCCTTTAAATTGAACGGGCAACATGAGGACCCAACCTGTAGATCCCTATATCCTACCATCATTACTGGAGACTGGAGTCAGGGAGAGACACTCTTGGAGACAGGGAGCTGAGATAGGTCAGGCAAAGCATGTAACTGGGAGGTGAGGAAACAGGAAGTAGGGAGGGGGGAGCATAAAACAGAGAAAGAATGATGGAGAACAAAGTAGAAAACCAACCTCATGGACAAAGAACACACGGGCACCAGTAAAGATACCAACTCGAACCACAGCCCTGACAGCAGCATTCATACCTGAAAGGAGGGAAGGAAGACGACAGGAAGAGGTTACTCCTGAGAAAAGCAGCCTGGACTACAAGATATCTCAGTCCTTCTCTTAGGCTTTTCTCTGAATCTAGAATACTCTTCTCCTCCAAGTCTTCTGGCCTCCCCCCCCCCCCCCCGCAACACTAAATTATCGTGTTCAGTGTTAATGTAGCTCCATATACCTCCAATTCATCTCCCTTCCCCCCCAATCCCCTCTTTCTTAAGACCTTTCCCTGCCAGGGCAATCTGGGGAATAATAATCTTGAATGCTTACAGTAGGGTTAGACACTGCTAAACGCCTGTCAAACCTCATCTCATTTAATCCTCTCCACAACCCTGAAGTTACCTCCATTTTACAGATTTGGAAACTGAAGTTCAAAGAGGTCAAGGTCACAGAGCCCAGTCTCTCCACTGGGAGACAATCAGGACTAAAATTAATTAGGACTAAAACAGAGAGGAGAGCCTTTCCCCTCTCTCCCATGTTAAGTAGTCTCCCTTTCCGGTAGCTACTCAGTGACGAGAACTGTCTCTCCCAAGAGTACTGTGGAGGAACCACCCTGCACAGCACACAACACAAGGGGGAAGCTATAACGGCCTCTGTATTAGAAACAATGCTACTGATAATTGTGCTGAGCAGAACTTCCCCAGTGAGACATGGAACACATACCTGGGTCTTGATCCCGGTAACCCCATCCTGCCCTGTCATGTGAGAAGGGGCTCACGGTGATGCTCAGGGAATCTCAGAGCCCTGATAGATCAATTTCTTGTGAACCATTTTAGCCACCTGCCCTCAGATACCCCAGAACATTTTTTTGTTTCAATCTACAATCTATTCCTAGGGTCCTTAACCCTGCCTGGAGAAATATCATGTGCCAGTGAGCACCAAAGAAACCAGTAATTAGAAAAATCTTCTAAAATCCATGGGGCGCCTGGGTGGCTCAGTCGGTTGAGCGTCCGACTTCAGCTCAGGTCACGATCTCGCGGTCCGCGAGTTCGAGCCCCGCGTCGGGCTAAGGGCTGATGGCTCAGAGCCTGGAGCCTGCTTCCGATTCTGTGTCTCGCTCTCTCTCTGCCCCTCCCCCATTCATGCTGTGTCTCTCTCTGTCTCAAAAATAAACGTTAAAAAAAAAAATTTTTTTTTTTAAATAAAATAAAATAAAATCCATCATGAACTACTGTAAATTCCAAAGCTACCTGGAGCAGAATAGAACCAACAAAACCAAAATGTCTATTTTGGAGGGTTTTTTCTGCAGGCTGACGAAAGTTGGTGTTAGATAACTATAAGCACCAAATCAAATTGAAGGCCCATTCACTCACTGAGCAAATAATTGACTAAATACCTACCATACTCCAGGCACTATCTAGGCACTAGGGAAACAGCAGTTGAATGATACAGTCTAGGGATGCAAAGATACAGGAGACGGTAATGGTCCTCAAGACTTGTGAAGAATATAACATGGTTACAATATGGATCCCTATGAAGGAGATTTGTACAAAGTGCAGTGGGGACAAGGAGAAGGAGCATCCAAGCTGCCAGAAAGGAGTCAGAACAGGTTATACAGAAAAGACAACATCTGACCTGAGACCTAAAGGACAATTTCCTTATAAATCTTTTATGTCAGGTGGCCACTCTGGGGGACAGTGCTCTAGGCAGGAAAATAGCACAAATAAAGGTGAGGGTCAAGAAACAACCTTAGGTAACTGGGTATTACAAAGGATAAAACGTAAGACAGGAAGTGGTGAGCAGTGAAGCTTCAAAGGTAAGCAGGCACCTGTATGCCACGCGAGGAAGCCTGGCTCTTATTCTGTAGGCCAGGATTTGATTGGGGATCCATGGGTGATGGTTTCAGGAAATCCATGAACCCATGAAACTGTATGAAAAGTTTTCTGGGCACGGGAATTTCCTTTGGGAGAAGGTCCACAGCTGTCATTTGATTCTTAAGGAGGTCTTTGGCCTAGAAAACAAAAGTTGCAAATGATGGAGAATCTCTGAAGAATTTTGAGAGTGGAGAGACATGACGCTATCTGTATATCAGAAAAGATCACTGGTGGCAATGTGGAGGACGCTGGGATAAGATGGCTCTCTGGCAGCCTAGACGAAATGAGGGCCTAGACTGAGAGAGTGGCATTTGGGACAAAACAGAGACACTGGACAGGAGGCAATGGGGAAAGAGAAGCACAGCACTGTGGTTAGATTTCAAGGTGTTGGAGAAGAAGATGGAAAGGCCCCATGACTGACAGGCAAAGAGTAAGACTGAAGTGCAATTAACTAAGCAGAGGCAAGTTTTGATTCAGGCAGGTAGGGGTGTGGATGATACATTCGTATTTGGATATGTTGAGCTTGAAGTTCTTGTGGGACACCCATGTGGACTTGGGAGAGATGGTGTCACAAGAATATGTAGAATTAGAATGGGAAAGGCAAGGAATGGAACGCTGAGGAAAACCAATGCTGAGGGAATGGGCAGGGGATGATGGGTTCCATGAAGGAAACTAAGGAGCAGCAAGAAAGGCAAAAGGAAACCCAGGTCTTAGCCATGTCTTGGAAGCCAAAGGGAACAGTTTTGAGAAGTTGTAACACTGCCAAATGCTTCCAATAATCAATCTAAGATAAGAACGGGAAGGTTGGGCTTGCCAACAAGAGGTCACTGGTGAGCACTGCTGTCAAAGCCCACTTCCGCCATCACTAAGGCAAAGTCACATAAGTCTAGAAGTCTAGGTTCACATCCTCAAACTGAAGGAATCAAAATGGAAAACTCTGTGATGGGAGCAGGCTTCTCAGAAGCTTTAGGAAAAGCCTGCGTGTATGAAAAGAACAAAGTCAGGGTCAATGCAAAGCCATCAGTGCCTTAGTAAGGATAAATCAGTAGGTCAGAACAGAAATGAAACTATTGTTGATTTATTTTCTAGACTTTCACAATGCCTGTGGGCTTGTCTATTGGATACCTACAGTTCTGGAGTATGAATTTGTAATCTTAAGAAATAAGGAAAAAACACTACTGAAATTTATAGGTTGGAATGCTGTTTCCTACTCCTGAGTAAGGGTAGGGAGAAAAGATTTAAGAAAAACAAATGACTTAAAAGGTTTTAAGTACAAAGTAAACAATACATGGCAGGTAGGAAATATCCAAATCTATTGGGCAGAAGAAAAATCCCACAAAAAAAGAAGATTCTTCCTCTTCTCTCATCCCTTTTTACCTTCTTACCTCAGTCTTATCAACCTCCAGAGGTCATCCTGCCTCTAAGCTGGACAACCGTTTTCCTAGAAATCAAGTTTTAGGACCCTAATTGTCCCCTATACCTGCATTTCAAACCCCCCAGTTCCCTAGAATTCACCGACCAGTATGTATACACATAACTTATGCTAGGGAGTCCCAGTAATTCTTTGGGCTCTTCTACTTAACATCACTGGCCTATTCTGGCCTCAGACCAGTCCTGGCCAGGATCTCCTTAGCTGTACCATGTTGCCCTAAATAACTCTATTCGCAGCTGTCTGACTTATTAGAAGCAAGACGAAGGATAAGATTACAGGCAACACCCAGGGGGTATTCTGGGTACAGCCAGGAGGGGCTCTGGAGAACATCAGAAGCACATACTTTGGAGTTTCTAATTACAGCCTGTAGGCAAGAGGCTTTGGGGAGAACTATGGGTAATGAGTCTCTATGACATGAGATAGAAAAAACTAATAAATGACTTGGTCACTATCTTTTTGAAAGCAGATGTTAGAAAGTTTCTACCTTAACTGAACTTTGAATAGGAAAAAAAAAATCCTTTAATTCCAACATGAAAAATAAATGTTAGATCTGAATTACACTTCTGACAAATATGTAATTAATATTATGAATCCTAGAATAGCAATCCAGAGAGGTAATAGAATCCCTGTTCCTGTAATCCTTTAAAAACAGGATAAACATGTATTTGGAATGGACTGCCCATCTGAAGGCAGAGGGCTAGAGCGATGACTGAGATCCTTTCCAGCAGAATAAGCCAATGTTGTGTGGCCAAATGTGGTATGGTTTAGCAGAGCTGGGGCCATTCCTGGACTGGAATTTGTATCTACTCAGCCCAGTTTCTGAGCTCAGGGTGTCTGAAATCTGGCCTCTCTTCTGCTTTAAGAGGTTTTTGGCTTTGCTAAGCTCAGGGAATGACAGAGCTGTGGCCTCTGTGGATTTTATAGAACCCAACCTTCACTTTCCCATGTGGCCCACAGCCTCTGGGTTAAAAGTCATTTCTGTGCCCTCTCCCTCGGAGAACTGAAGATCATTAAACCTATCTCTGGGCAGGCCACTACTTTATTTGAGCTGCTCCTTCAGCTGAGACCTCTCAACTCTACTTTGAGTTTTCTGCTTTGCTTCCCTGTCTCCCTTAGTTTCTTCCTGTACCACCTGGTCACATGCACCTGTGATGTTATGTGGCCTCGCAGTGGGATATTTCCCTGGGTACACTGTGCCTGTCACAGGATCCCCTAGGCCTTGGTCCAGCTGGCCCTCCAGAAATCAGCTTATGCTAGCGCCTGCCTCCAAGAATGATCTTCCCTTAAAGCAGGTGATGGTCCCTCTAGAATAAGAGGGTTTCTGTGCTCAGGATCAGAAGCTGAAAGAGCTCTGCTGCTCTTAGACCCAAGTTAAATCCTAGCTCTCTCTCTCTCCCTCTGTCTCTTTTTTTTTTTTCCTCTTTCCCTCTCCAGAGAGCCCTTCTTTTTCATAAATTCTTAACTTTGTATGCCTCACTTGGATTTTTAGCAGGCTCTTCTTGCTTCACTTAATCCAATTTCACAGGCCACCCTACCAAGGTTTTAGGATCAACACTCAAGAGTTTGTGGAGCAAGGGATTCTTTCCAGGAGAGAGCAGAGAAGCAATCGAAAAGTAAGGTCAGCCTCAAGTAGGGCTCTGCATTCCTAATCTGGCCACTCTTCCTGAACTCAGACCTCTGTGCCCCTCTTCCTAAGTGTCCTCATTCTGGCATTCTCATGTTCATAATACATATCACAATTACAATTAAATATACATTAGATAAAAAATATACTTAAAGCCTAGATTTACTAACATATAATGAGGATCATAAGAACAATGTGTAACTTTTTCATTGATGTATCCTTAGTGCCTGCCATTCTGCTTGAAATGCAGGTGCTCAATAACGTCCTTTGCATTTAACTAAGAATACGTTTATATAGCACCTACTTTGTACACCAGACACTGTGGAATGAAGAATTCATTCAATGAAGAGTTCAGTCTCTTGAAATCTACCTTCTCTGTGAACTCTTCCCTGGTTAATCCAACCAAAGCCTATCTGTTCATTATAGAAGTGGGTTCTACTTGGTTAGGCACACTTGATTCTTGTTATTTATAAGCCTTACATAAGAATTCCAGTAATGTATGCTATCTTTTCTCCTAAAACTATAAGTTTCCAAAGAAAATTAACTTCTTCACGACATACAAGGCAGGGCTCTAAGCAAAGTGGGTGCTTAACACAAAGTTTAGGAAGCCTACAGAGAGTGGTGCAGAGTGAAGGGGAGACTGGCTGAAATCTCTTTCCTTCTCTATTTTTCTCAGCACAGTCTCCATGTCCTGGTATCCCTCTCAAAGAGATTCTGAAGGTAGATTTCAACGTATTATAAATTACAATATACAAGATCATCAGGAGGAAAAAAAAAATCACACATTCCCTATCTCCCACTTCATTTTTCCATATACCTGATTTCCCTGACTTCCAGGCTTCTGGGACTCAACCCAGAAAGGGGTTCTCTCTGGCTTTGCTTTCTGCCCGCCCCCCCCCACCTCACCCCATGGGTCTGTACCGATTAACTGCTGCTATTCCTGCTTATTCGAGGGACGAAGGAATGGAAGAAGAGGAAAGGCCAGAGAAAACTAAGCATGAAGCAGAACTGTGCCCAGTAGAAGGAAATGTGCTGTAGGAGTGTGGTGCCGGACCCTGGTTGGTGCAGAAACTCTACGTACCTCAGAGGTAACACCTGAAGATCTAGCTAGGGCCCACCAAATACCAATTTCTGCATCTCCCCCTTTCCCCACCATTTTCAATGTATTTGAAGTGAATCCACCTACTGCTTTCTCAACAAGTTTATCTCTTTAGTCTCTTTCTTCCTAGTGATGCTTGAGAAAACACCAGTCTTTTAGGTATCAAAGGAACAAAATGGTCCCAAATCTTCAGAGAAACTTAGAAAGAAGTTTTATAAAGATTTGAGTAAATTAAGGTAGAGGAAATAATATCCAGAAGCACTTGGGGACTTAGACCTGACAGAGACTCTTGGGAAAGCCCAGGATTCCAGTGTGAATCTACAGCAGGAGGACATTAAGGACAGTTCTATTCTACAGGCTAAGGGAGTTAAGAAACTCAAAAGGGCCTACCAGCCATGGTTTTTTTGTCCCTCCCCAAGCAGGGCCTTCCTCCTTACCTTGGGCATCTCCACCAGAGGTTAACACGGCGATGGCTTTGCCAATCCCCAGGGTTTTGGCTGCATGGTGCTCTTCATGGGTCATGATCCACTCTAGAATTCAAGAGCACGATCAGTTAAGACACAGGTGGATTGAGGTGCTCAGGAAATGGCTCTGTTAGACTGGCTAAAGCCACCCCAGTCAGGCTCTCCTACTATACTAAGTCTGAGCTTTGCAGCCTGGGTGTTTTGGACTTCTTCCAGAAGAGGGCCACGCCCCCACAAACTGACAAGCTGAAATGTCACAGTAATCAAACCCAAGACTGCAAAGGTCCCGGCTAATCCCTCCCACCTGAATTGGAGTCTATTTGGAGAACAAGCTAAGGTCAAGGGGAAGGGCAGTTGACTGAACAGAAATGAGAAAAGAAGGAGGAAAGTTAAGGTGGCCTCAAGGATTCCTCCTTTTAATGAAGGGAAGGGCTGCTGCAGACGGTAGGAATCGGGTGAGGTTTGGGGCACTGATGAGAACCAGCCAAGTGGAAGCAGAAAAGTGAGGGAAGGCAGGGTTATGGTGAAGATGATGGTTTCGTTTTATGGAATTGGGCTAAGCTGGAACTGGGGTTTGAGGTTTTACATGCACATTTGAGCCTGCACAAAATGATGGTTCAGGCTCAGGAATGGTTAAAGACATTCTATGCCTTCTCCCATCGCTCTCAGGCTTCCTGCCTCCTGAGCCTCTCTTGACTCATCTTCAGGCCTTGCCCTTCACACTACATGCTATCAAATGGGAAGAACAACACAGAATCATAGCCAGATATACATAGATTATGTACACACGCCATGTGAACACCTTCCTATTATTGTCTTTAGGGCTTATCTCTCTCAAAGGAACACACAAGACACACTTTTGTGTCCACAAAATGTCAAAGGAGTCATCACTCTACCAGTTATCCAGGTTAAAATCTAAATTTTTAAATTGATCTCCTCCTTACTCTGAGAGTCAAAAGTTACCAAGTCCTATTCTTCTCCCTTACTATCTTCCCTTATCCTTCTCTTATTTGCGATCCTCGGCGCCTCTCTCCACCTGAATTGCCTACTACAATAGCTGGTCTCCGTTTGTGTTTCCCTTCTCCACTCTACAAGAGACATAGAATAAACCTCTATGGGTAGGTCATAGGACCCTGAGGATGCATTCACCTGAACTGGGCCAAATCACTTGAACCGGGGCTGATGACCTTTATGCACAGCTCATGTTTCTGCTGTGAATCTGGGGAAATCAGGGTAGGCGCTGATAAAGACACAGGTCACATAAACACACAAATCTGCATACATACCAATAAAGTACATGCAATGAGACACTCGTGAAGACACACAAACACAAACATATATAGCATTATTATGGGACACAGATTCACAGACATACTACATATAATCCATTCTGATGGATAAAGTCCAAATTCTTGAGTTGGCATTCAAAGCTTCCATGATCTAGCCCTTGCCAAAGCTTGAACCTTTGTTCCCATGAATTTTCTGTCCCACCATCACCTGAACATTACTTTGCTCCTTCCCATTTGTGTACCTGGGTACACTGCATCCCTCATCCAGAAGGCCACCTTGGCCCTTTCACAGATATCCCACTCCATCATTTAAGGCCAGGCCTAGCTGCAATCCTATGAATATTAAGACTATTAACTCTTCACTGATTACCATAGGAGGGATTCTTTGTGGGCCTCCTCTAATCACATATTGTCTGGTATTAGATCATTCATTTAGCACTTAATTACTACTTTATATGGTATTTAAATTGCTTCTTATATATTGACAATAAGGTTGGACTGGATCAGGGGTCAACAAACTACAGAGCACAGGTCAAATCCAGCCCTTTTTTTGGTTTTGTATGGCAGCAAACAAAGAAAGGTTTTTACATTTTTATTTTTCTTTAAGAAACTTTTTTTTAGAGAGAGAGACAGAGAGAGAGAATATCTCATACAGGCTCCACATTCAGCAAGGAGTCTGATGCAGGGCTTGATCCTACAACCCTGGGATCATGACCTGAGCCAAAATCAAGAGTCAGATGCTCAACTGACTAAGCCACCCAGGTGCCCCAGATTTTTACATTTTTAAATGGTTTAAAAAACCATTTCAGGACATGTGAAAATTACATGAAATTCAAATTTCAGTGTCCATACCATTCTCATTCTTTCACACATTATCCTATGGCTGCTTCTGTGCTACAACAGAGTAGATTATTGTGACAGAGACCAGATAGCCTGCAAAGACTAAAATATTTACTATCTGGCTTTTTACAGAAAGTTTGCAGACCCCTGGATAGATGACTGCTACAAGCCACTTTCCCTAACTAGACTGAACAATCCTCCAGGGAGGGATCACGTTCATTTTTTTAAAACTTTCCCACAGCTTAACCAAAGCCTAGTGAAGTCCATGCACATAACAGTTCAATAAATCCTTGTTGAAGGCATTAGTGAACTGACGAACAATACAAAACGCACACAGACCTATGAAAGCTTTTATTTAGTATGCTTGGATACAGACAGCTCCATATTCTATTTCTAACGCATAGAGATACAAATAGGACTTAAGAAAGCATATAGTGACAGTGAAAGGAATGTAATAAACACATATGGATACAGACACTCTTCTATTAACTGGAGTGTTCATGTCCAAATTTCTGCTGTTCTCAAGAAAAAAAAAAAAGACTAAGTCACTGGTGCACATAAGGAGGCAAACATTTGGAAATGAAAGAACAAAACATGAGTATTCTGATCCCATTTTCCTTGAGTTTTTTCTTCTCATTCACTCTGGGAGCTCACTGACAAACTCACACAGGGATCTGCCACCCATGGAGTTTTCAGTGAGGGAGAGAATTCACCATTAACAAGGGGGAAGGTTAGGAGTGCTGACCTGCAAAAAAGAACCTTCTCCTGTATCCCTAAACCAGTTATAAGAGGCACAGGACACAGAAATGCACGCAGATTCATATATAAGCAACCTTTATAGATCCACAGTGACACACACATAGAAACACACAGACATAAAACCTAAATATAAAATCACATGTGTGAAGATAAGCAGGCGGGAGGGATAAATACAGGGCGGCAACATCATAGGTGCACTGATTTGAACTGGCTGAGTGCCAGGATAGGAGTGAGGCAGCCAGGGGAAACGAGGTCCGAGCACCACCCACCCATCCCTGATTCCCAGGGGCGGGGGCTGTGCGTGCTAGCGGAGGGAAATGAGCCGAAGGGCTAGGATTCTTCACGGCTCCCCTACCCATCCCCCCTCTTCGCTCCTGCTTCTGATGCCATACCACCTCTTCTTTTCCCATCCGCTCCTTCCAGTTCTCCCCAGCGCCTCCTCCCAGCACGGTCATCCCCACCTCGCTCTCGGCTTTCCCCCGCGGTCCTTACTCAGGGCCCCTCTTGCCTTTTAGTCTTAGCTCTCCTCCGCCACGGCTTCCTTGCAGACTGTCCTTGGGGAAGGGGGAGGGGAGCTTGGAGAACGCGGGGAGGAGCCAGGTGGAGGCAACAAGGGAGGGGAAAGAGGAGAGGCTTCCCAACCTCCACTAGCTGATGCTGGCCCGGAGGCTCCGCCTCCTCCTGCTCCTCTTTCTCCACCCCTCCCTCCTCCTCCCAAGGACAGCTCAGATATGGCATCAGCTTCTCCTCACTCCCCAGAAGGTCCTCGGGTCCCCATCTCTGTCTCGGGAGCCATCAGCTCCTGTACATAGTGGGAATCAGAAATTATTTAGTTGCCTCTCATGTTGTCTGCCGAGACAACTGTTTCCTAGCCAGACTGAGACTCCTTGCATTCAAACATCCTCAACAACTAATACTAAACCTCCCCCTCTGGCCTTATGCATTATCTCACACCTCTGTCACTCTTTGAACGAGCATTCGTGGAGTGTCTTTGCGCCAGGTTTTGTATTAGGTGCTGAGGATGAAAAGATAAATGAAATAGAGTCTCTGCCCTGGAGGAACATTGAACACCGGTATTTTCTGTAGAGGGACGCCAAAAACTCCTTTTATATTTATGTACCTTTCTCTGAGAAAATACAGGGCTACAAAGCAAACAGTGTCCGTGGAGGCAACATGGGCCAAGAACTCCCAGAGCTAAGGGTGCATCCTTTCCTCAGATCCTCTTTACTCTTTCCACTTCACCCAGGTCTTTGTTGCAATGCCTCTCCACAGGCATCTCTCCTCTCCTGACTTCCTATGCCCTCCCTCTTGCTTACTTTTTTTCTGCCCCTGCATATTCTGGCTGCAAACAATAAGAATAAAGATAAAACCACTGGAATACACAAAAGTAACTTTTGTGATGCAAATGTTACCATCCAAAGACAACCTAAAGAATGGAAGAAAATATCTGCAAATCACATATGTGATAACAGATGGATAGGTATCCAGAATATATAAATTACTCTTGCCACTCAATTATAAAAAAGATAATAACCTTGGGGCACCTGGATGGCTTAGGTTGAGCATCTGACTCTTGATTTTGGCTCAGGTCATGATCTCACAGTTCATGAGTCTGAGCCCCCCCTCACTGATGGTGAGGAGCTTGCTTGGAATTCCCTCTCTCTCTCTCTCTCTTTCTCTCTCTCTGCCCCTCCTGCATGCACACTCTCTTTCTCTCTCTCAAAATAAATAAACAAAGAATTTTTTAAAAGATAATAACCCAATTCAGAAATGGGCAAAAGGTCTGAACAGATACCTCACCGGTAAAGATACACAGATGGCAAATAATCATATAAAATGATGCCCAGCATCGTATGTCATCCGGGAACTGCAAATTAAAACAGAGAGGTACTACTACATATTGTTAGACTGGCTAACATCAAAAAAATTAATAATAAACCTGATAGTACCAAAAGCTGACAAGAATGTGCAGCACCAGGAACTCTTATTTTTTGTTGGTGGGAATGCAAAATGGTACAGTCACTTTAAAAGACAATTTGGCAGTTCCTTACAAAGCTAAATAGAGCCTTACTGTATGATCCAGCAATCACATTTCTCTAAGTATTTACCCAAATGAGTTGAAAACTACATCCACACAAAAACCTGCACACAAATGTTCATAAGAGCTTATTCATAGTT